TCGAAACAGTACAAAAATTATATATCTAATGCAGAAGAAGAGGCTTCTACTTTAGCTATATCTAACTACAGTTGCCATGGGGACCCAGGTAAGTGTCAATCTGTTAAAAAAAGACTTTTATAAAATAATTTGCCTAATTACTGTGCAATGGCACCAGGAGACACCTGGAACCATAACCATATGATGCATAGATTACCCCTTTAATATCATTAACAGACACTCTAAATGAGCTGTATTTAATTACTCTTTACACCATATTGTCAAAACCTGTGTAGATTATAGTAATAACCAACAAAATAACACCTGAAGCTGGGGTATCAAATTGCTTTAGTTAGGTACTACTTTTAGACATTGTGATGCTCTACTGGACAAGCAGGTATACTGACTGAACTCTCCTCATGGTGGCACCATTTATTTTCTGAATTAGCCCAGTCATCTGAACTCCTACTATGTATTCGTATGTTGTAGTGGTCAGTGGACAAGTCTAATAAATACTTTATTTCCATAGGTATACAGTGTAACAATAATCTTAAAAATCTGTCACAAAGGTCACAAGATTAATACTTTCCCTTTTTAACCAATGTTTATGTTACTTTACTTGCTGAAAAAGCTTCAACTGAATTCATGGTAATTCAGGACATTAAACTTTATAGTAGTTTAAAACCACAACCTACAGAGTAAGATTCAATTATTCACCGGGAGAACAGGAAACATTTCATGGAGGGAACATAAAGATGAGTGTTATAGCAAGTAGGGGCTGCTCTACATTGATAGTCAGCATGCAGTTCTTGATGTTTGTGCTTTTCTCCAAGATGGCTTGTACTTGCTTCCAGGTCTTCTTCTCTTAGTTTGTGAAAGAAAAATCCACAGACATGTAAGGGTTTCTCAGAAGAAGGTCTATGGTATAGGATAGTCACTACTCCTGTTTCTGAGCCACCTAACTCCAAAATTAAAATTGCGTTGGGATTTGGATGGACCAGTACTGAGGCACAAGCAAAGACAGCCTTCAATTACTGAGAAGCATCCCTGGCTCTTTGGGACCAAACAGTATTATTAACCCCTTTCTTAGCCATGATAGACATGATAATCTATTAGAACCTTTGAATAAACCTTCTATAATATTTGGCAAAACCAAAAAGTTTTCAAATAACTTTTAACCCTGGGACAGGGACTTATTGAGAATAGTAGTAAGCTTATTGGGATCCATCTGAAATCTTTCTGAGGATATGACATAGAAACATAGAAACATAGAATGTGACGGCAGATAAGAACCATTCGGCCCATTTTGTCTGCCCAATTTTCTAAATACTTTCATTAGTCCCTAGCCTTATCTTATAATTAGGATAGCCTTATGCCTATCCCACCGATGCTTAAACTCCTTTACTGTGTTAACCTCTACCACCTCAGCTGGAAGGCTATTCCATGCATCCACTACCCTCTCAGTAATGTAATACTTCCTGATATTATTTTTAAACCTTTGTCCCTCTAATTTAAGACTATGTCCTCTTGTTGTGGTAGTTTTTCTTCTTTTAAATATAGTCTCCTCCTTTACTGTGTTGATTCCCTTTATATATATTTAAATGTTTCTATCATATCCCCCCTGTCTCGTCTTTCCTCCAAGCTATACATGTTAAGATCCTTTAACCTTTCCTGGTAAGTTTTATCCCGCAATCCATGAACCAGTTTAGTAGCCCTTCTCTGAACCCTCTCTAAGGTATCAATATCCTTCTGAAGATACTGTCTCCAGTACTGTGTACAATACTCCAAGTGAGGTCTTACCAGTGTTCTGTAGAATGGCATGAGCACTTCCCTCTTTCTGCTGCTAATACCTCTCCCTACACAACCAAGCATTCTGCTAGCATTTCCTGCTGCTATTACATTGTTTGCCTACCTTTAAGTCATAAGAAATATTCACCCCTAAATCCCTTTCCTCATATGTTGAGGTTAGGACTCTATCAAATGTTCTGTACTCTGCCCTTGGGTTTTTACGTCCAAGATGCATGCCCCAGGAAATCAATCTTAGTCTGATCAAACTCTTATCTATTGCAAAAGAGCTGATTATCGAGAAGTGTTTGTAGAATGGTTCTAACTTGACTATGATGTATTTGGAGATCTGGGAAATGCACCAAGATATCATCCAAAAACAAAATAATGAAGGTTTTATATCAGGTTTTGGAAGACAGCTGGTGCACTACTTAACCTGAAGACATTACATTGCACGCATAATGTCTACTTCAGGTGTTTAATGCTATCTTCCACTTATCTTCATCCTTGATATAAACCAAATTGTATGCCCTGTTAGGTTTAGTTTTGTAAATTAGCGAGAACTCTTGAGTTTGTCAAACAGTTACTTTATGAGTGGAACAGAGTGGAATCCTACTTGTGATTTTTTAGGAGCTTCAGAAACTTTACAAGGATATAGATCTCCTTCTCTAGATACAAAAAAAATAATATCCCATCAGGAGAGGATAAGCATTTACTGCACCCTTTTATTCAGTGATTGGATGTATTTCCCATTATATTTTTTTTCTCTTTGTGGAGAGTATGATTTCATGCAACAAATTGATGGCACAGTTATATGGCCTGTGTGGAGGGAGACCATTGGCTTCTTCTTTATCAAAAACTCTCATTATGTCTAAATACTAAGGAGGGACTTCAGGAGATAAAAGAGGCACAGCATGTGTGTTTACACATAATGGTTGCGATAGAAATTGTTACAGTAAGTGTCTCACAAAATCAATAGTATCTCCTTCCAGTCTACTTGTGCTTAGATAACCAAGGAAAACCCAATACAGTGAGACAGAAAGGAGAAGATATACCAACACTTAAGATACCAGTCTCCTAATAATGAGTTGAATGCTGAGAGGTCTACCATATCTGGCCTCTACAGCTAAAGGTGTTTTTCTTTTCTTGTAAGCTAAGGAGATGGACGGGGCATAAGTGGTATAGATAAACTTCCCATCTGATCCTGAATCTAAGACAGCATGGATATTATAGGTAATGGATTCCCAAATGAAAGAAACATGAAGTAAAAATAATAATGGAGACATTTTAGGGGATAATGACATCACACCCAACGCCAGTCCCTTAGACAGTCTTAAGTATGAGAGTCTTCTAGGACATTGGGGCAGTCATTTCTAAAATGATCCTTTTGGACACAGTATATACATCAACTCTCATTTTCCAAACTTCAGAATGCTATATGGATGAATTATGACAAAAAATTAAATGGACAATTGACAAAATGTTTCTTTTGTTTTCTGATTCAGCGTTACACCAATGGTGCCAAAAAAGATCATTGATGGCTAGGTGACAGCCAATCAATGTTGATTTTAATCATAGATCAAGTGAGAAATGAGCAATAGAGGGGGAAAATGAGGAGCAGTACAAAGATCTATATTTATATTCTATGTATTTAATAAATATATAATACATACATTTAAAAATATAAATCTCTTTTACTGCTCCTCCTTTTCTCACTCTATTCATTACTTCTTCTCACCTGATCTGTGAACCATATTATCTAGTACGATAGGCACTTTTTGGGCCCTTTTGGTTTGCCTGAATTGTTTTCCCTAAACCTTTTTATTTTTAAACTGAAATGATTTTATGGCATGTCACATGGACAACACTCAAATCTCCCCCCAATTCTTTTCAGAATTAATCTAATCAGATGAACCAAATTTGTTCTGCGGACATAAGTCTGGTACTCAACTGCATGGATTCTGAGGCAGGCAAGGAAAAAGTTTAGGAAGAGGAAACCTAGGAGTAAAGCACTGACTATACCTTAGCTTTTTCCTTGCTACAGTTCTTGTGTCTAGCATGGTTCTCAATATATGACATATACTAGATAAGTAATATATGTCTGTTTGTCTATCTGTCTATCTGTCTATCTATCTATCTATATATCTCCTGAAGCCTGTTTGTAGAGACATATTATTAAGTATTCAATATTTTCATTATGTGTTTCACAATGTGTAATGATTTATAATGCAGCACTACCAGCTCCCTCCTTGTAATAAATATTAACAATTCCTAGTACCCCTGCATTAATACATATGGGGTTAATGGAAGGGGATCTCTTAATTTCAGGATGCGAATGCTCCCCCTGATCGGTAGTTCATATCTCCCGAACGTTGTTTGTATAGGTGGTCGGGAAATAGAACGGGCAGCGATCTAAGTTTTACCAGCATTCGCGAAAAGAGTTCCAGGCATTCGATGACCAAGTACCGCTGTCCACATTTGGGAGACAAGATGGCAGCCACCCAGGGAAAGAATTCATTAATTACTTCCCTTGTGGTTTCGCACTTAAGTTGCTAGTGTTAACGTTCTAATGGGGTACAGGGGTGACTAAAGGATTTGAGAGATGAAAGGATTCTGTTCATAAGTAGTACTCCCAAACGAAAAAAGGATAAAACATACAAAATAAAGGGGAAAACATACAAATATGTGGTACGTTTCGCCACAAGACTCTTACACGCACGGGTTAAGTCTCCTGCTGGAGGGAGATCCAGGTTTTTTCTTTCTCTTCAGTGCTGTGGGGGTTAATTCTCCTGCATCACAGAGTCTATGAAATGAAAGAACTGAAACAAAAAGGTAACACATTCGGCATTTGCCCTTTTGTTTTGTATATAATTCGTATGTAGGACTTTTGTTTATGTTATAGTAAGAGAATACGAAAAAGTCTAATAATTCGGATGAAATCATATTCGTCAGATAACGAATGCACATGTCTACATATTAGTCTAGGATGAAAAATGATGAAAAGATGAAAAAGGGGGGGCGGGGCCGGGCCGCCGAGCTGGATGGCAGCCATGAGCTTTAGCTCTGTCCCACGATCCCCAAAAAACGACTTCAAAAGTGGTCATGCAGCATCAAAAAGGGGACACCCCGGTAACCGAATGATAATGCACGCACCCTGCACCAGTAGGATACCTACATGGGGCCAATCCCGCACCAAGAGAGCAAAAAGCAGGCAAACATGGCAATCACGGCCGCACATGGAGGGAGGCAGGAAAGACGAAGCGGGGCGAGCGTTGAAAAAGAGACCCGGACCCGAAGCTGAACGGATGGGCCCGGCCGGCGGCGCGGCCCCGCTCCCCCCCCAGGCCGGTGGGGGTTATCACGGCCACATGGTGATGATCTCCACGGAGGCCCGTGCGGGTCGATCACCTACACTGGCAAAGGCTCCCAGGAACAGCCCGCCAGCAGATAAGGGCAGATGGAATACAAGCACGCACGAAGTGGACTACCTACCTTTATGTGGAGGCTTCTGTATGAGGCCCGAGGGGCCCCGACGGCTGTCGGCCCACGGACGGACACCCCGGAGGGCCTGCCCCTTGGTGACGATACTGGACCCTGCATCTGGGTTTCTGGGTGGCTCGGAGAAGGATGTCCCTGACGCAGTGAGTCCTGTGGGGCCAGAGGGCTCTGAACCCCTCCGGTTTACCGGTGACCGGGAGGGAGGAGGCGCACCGGCTCTAAGTGTGAGGCCTGCGCTGGGTGAGACTCGTGGGCCCAGATGTTATCTGGCAGCGCAAACGACGCCGGGGAGGTGCAGGGGACGGAGAGTGCTGGGACTTTTGTGGGGGGTCTCATGGACTGACCCGGACCCCGAGTGCCCACGGCATCGCAGAGCGCCCCGAGGGGGCCTGAGTCCAAGGGGTGGACAGACGGAAGACCGACACCCTGAGGGACCGTACCGATCCGGTATGCAGATAGCTTACAGTTATATAATTCAGCACAACATGCACCGCTGACAACTACGGGACTATACCTATAAGCAAGCTCACGTGCAATTCTGGACACCTGAGCAGCTTCTCAACTGAGCTTTGATACATATAAAGATTGACAGGGGGGCTTTTATACATGTTCTCAGTTAATACCATTTCAATGCGAAAAAAAAATAAAAAAAAAAATAATAATTTTTTTAAGGAATAGCCCGCAACCTATGTTTTAACAGCTGCATGCAGTCCGCATCTATTCCGCTTACATGATGCTGTATCTAACTTACCAATTGAATGTGCAGTAAATGCTAAAATGCCCATAAGGGCCAAAGGTAGACACTGATAAATATGTATCCACTGACTGCCGCACGAGAGTCGGGACAGTCGCCTATAACTGTATACCTGATATCCAAATAGCTTTAGTATTGATTAAGGCGACAAATTGCAAACAAATACGCTCTTTATGCTGAAAGTTGAAAAAGTTTTGATACCTTAAATTGTTACTTAATGTCAGACCCTAACTAGCAAGCTAATCCGTTTGCCTCTACATGGGAGACAATCCGCATTTACTAATTAGCACACACGCAGCACTGGTATACACCAGATAACATAAAACACTTACTTAACGCTATAATCGAAATAATAAGGCAACACAGTACATAAGAGTATAAAACATAAAGCAACCACATACGAACACAAACACAAGACAGGACGATGTCGCCGATACGCAGGCAACCAAATGCATACGCAGTGTCAAACCATTGTCTGTCAACACAAAACACTTACTTAACGCTAGAATCGAAATAATATAGCAATACGGCACATGAGAGTATAAAACACAATGCAACCACATGTGAACACAAACACATGACAAGACAATTTCGCCTCCACGCGGGCAACTAAATGTATATGTAAAACAGGATAAGCTAAACAGGCTAAGACGGATCCGCCTCTGCGTAGGCAACCAAAATTATATACTGTGTTGAACCAATGCTTAAGCCCCTGCGTGGGCACCACTTGCTTTATTACAAATCAGTTTGACGTATGAACCTATGTTTTTGTTTAAAGACATGTTAAGCTAAACAGGCTAAGACGGATCCGCCTCTGCGCAGGCAACCAAAAGTATATACTGTGTTGAACCAATGCTTAAGCCCCTGCGTGGGCAATCACTTGCTTTATTACAAATCAGTTTGACGTATGAACCTATGTTATGCATACAATAAAAATATTCAAAACAAAAAGATGAAAAAAGAATGTATCAAGTTCAAGTTCAACCTTGAAACCCATTATTTTATGCTAATGATCCAAAAGAAGACAAAAAAACAACTGTAGCTATCAAAAAAATACTTTTGACTCCATAATCCATTTCTTCTTGGATCAACAACATGTTCACATACATATTTATATCCTTAAATATATTGTTTATGCAAAAAACTATGCAAACTTTTTAAATTTTTTTTTTACTAAAAACAAATATCTATAGAATCTAATAAGACAATCATAATCTATCTGCATACTGTTGCCCAGTGTTCGATGTATAATTGTGCTCAAGTCTTTTTTATTTAATGTTGTTTTATTTATTTTTATTTAATGTTATCCCTAACGAGTTGTTATGAGGGTTGAAGTCTCTGGGCATTGTCATACTTTTAGGGGCTAAACAGTTTTTAAATGTTTCAACACATAAGTTGTTCCACTGAGCAACTGTCTTCTCTGCCTCATCTACCCTTCCTCCAGCCATTGTTCACTCCAGGAAGGATTGTCTTGGTGATTTGACACTCTCAGCCTATCACTGGTCACTCATTATGATTTATAGTACATGACTTCAGCCCCCATAACAAATTTATTGAGAGTAAGTTGTTATAGGACCCAGTCAGGTATATATGTCCCTTTAAACTGGTCTGCATGGAACTTGTAATGTTACACTCTTTTCTACCTAAGTTTAATTCATACATTATTACTTTTATAGAACAGTATCTTTATGCAAAGAGCATGTGAAGATAAGCTTTCATTGTTGAAGAATCAAGACATAGCTGCATGCTGTGCTAAAAAAGATCCAGATACAAATAAATGTTTCCAAGAAGTCCAAGGTGGTCTTTCTGAAAATATGTCTGAACGCAACAAATTAATCCCATACTGGAAACTGTGTATGTTATATATTACTGATCAGAGAACTTTTGTGGAACAGTAAGTTTATTCAACCCCTTCCATGCCACCCTGAAGGTAGTGGGCATGGAAAATCCTTTACTTTTGGTACAAGAAGGGTTCAATCTTTGGCCAACAAGAACTGTTAACTGGGGTCATATTTAGTGGTCCAACACTGACAGGTAAGCTGTATGCAGCACTCAAAGTAAGCCTGCATACAGCACTTTAAATGATGAACACTATAGTTAAAACTATAGTGAAAACTCAATGATGACAATTTACGAATTGGTACAAATACCCAAGGAAGAACCTTTAAAGAAAAACACCATGATAATTTTGTTTGACATGCAAAGTACAAGCAAATGTACACTAACATATGCACAATTTTAAAATGTAGAGATATCACTAGTGTCAATAGAATTAGTCTTCATTGGGTTCTGTGTTTATGTGGAACTTTTTCAGTTTAAGTAGTTGTGTGATTGCATTGCCTAATTCCATAAATCACTACTAAGAGTGTATATAATTTAAAATAGTTAAGCTATTTTTAGTAATGTCCACAGAACAATTTAATTTGAATTTGAATAAGGTGCATTTTAAGGCTCTTAGTATCTATATTTTTTCTGTATGGAGTGTGCTGTGCTATAAAATCTTTTGGGGGTGCTAATGTGTCATGAGAAGAGCATCCAAGTGCAATTATGTGATAATGTAACTCTTTGCTTCTCACTGCTTGTTCTTGCTCATGTTGAAAGGCCACCAAATGCATTTTTTGGCTACAACTGACCCAGTTAATGTTATAATTCTTCTTTATAGACAAATATATAAGTTTTCAAGACAATACCGGAAATGTCCTTCCAAGTTAATGTCTCGAATAATAATAACATCAACACAATTATACACTAGCTGCTGCAAAGACGCAGCATTGTTTAAATGCTTCATTGAAATGGTAAGTAATGGACTTGATGTGATCTCAATGGAAAAATTAATAAAAGATAATGCAAAGAATGTAAAGAATGTTTCAGATAATATATGTCATCTGGTCACAATGAAGTTTCACAGTTTGGAGTGTATAGAGCTTACTTTCTGTGTCAATAGTATAAATTATAAAATTTCAAAGAAAATACATTTTTTTGTTAGAGCTCAGTAAAACAGGGAGTAATAATGCAAAATGTTGTAAATCACGAGAAAATAAATAACTACTTGGACTCTACTTTTCTAGATGTTTAGAGAACTAAAGAAATACTATTGCAGTAGTATACAAAACTGTACTCCTTACCCTATGGCATTCCTTTCCCTTTGCAATTCTTAGCAATCCTTAGCAATCCTGGTGTTGAAAGGATTAAAATCCTTTATTTTACTTACCTCTTTCCAGGACCAAGGTCCCTTCACGCTGGACCGCTCTGCTCTTCCAGCGACATCACGGGGGACGCATTAGCCCATCCCCATGTGGAATCAATGCTTTTCTTTGGGGAGTTTAAAGACACTGTACGTCCAAATATAAAGTGTGAGGATGTTAAATGTCATTTCATGGAGTTAAACTTATTGAAAATGCAGGAAGCGCCTCTAGTGGATGTATGGAAGCCACTGGAGGATTTCTTAACCCTGCTGTATTACCATTTCTCTGACACTACAATGTTTTACACTGAAGGGTTAAGGGACCAGGGGCCCTTCACCCAGACCACTTCAATGAGAGGAAGTGGTCTGGGTGTCTATAGTGTCACTTTAATCAATAATAAAAGCAGGGCCTTTTTGATATTTAGTGATCATAGTACATAGGCAAAATGGCGGTCTCCCTGCATTTTTGTTGTTTTATGTTTAATGACTTTGGTTTGTTTCTTAAATATGTGCCCTCTTCTATAACAGGAATTGCATCTTCAGAACACAATACAAAATCTAATAAAGGACAGCAATATAATATGTAAAGAATATAACAATACTGGAGAAGTAAAGACCATACTCTGGTAAGAGTTTTTTCAGTGTTTTTAATATCTTCTATACAGATTTTATCTATGCTCTTTAAAACAAAGTACAACACCAGTTTTACACAGCGTGGGACAGTAGTTCCCCCCCCTCATTATCATTATGGCCCCCACCTGCCGCCCAGGGGTGGGGGCCATAGGGGGGGTGGACAGTAGGCCCCCCCTCATTATCATTATGGCCCCCACCCGCCGCTCAGGTGTTAGGGCCGGGGGGGGCAGTGGGTCCCCCCATTATCATTATGGCCCCCACCCGCCGGCCAGGGGTGGGGGCCGGGCGGGGGGCAGTAGGTCCCCCTCCCATTATCATTATGGTCCCCACCCACCGCACAGGGGTGGGGGCCAGGGGGGGACATTAGGTCTCCCCCCTTATTTTACTTTAGGGCCCCCACCCGTCGTTTAGGGGTGGGGTCCAATAGTTTATTTTTTATTTTTTTTACAGTGAGCAGCCACAGGCTGCTGATTGTTTACCAGACATGCCCCTACTCGTGGTATAGCGAGTAGGGGCATATTATTTACTAATACTAAGTAACCTTTACTCAGCATTAGTAAAGTTGGCTGAAAGACCAATTTAGGTCTTTCAGCCTTTTAGCAGATAACTCCCTGATACCGTGGGAATTAGGGAGTTATCTACTAAGCGGCTGCAAGATGCAGCCACAGCACAAATAGGATCAGAGTTTCATTCATTCGAAAATGCCGAATTGCGTTCTAAAACAAACGAACATACTGTTCTCATTCAGTTAGAACGCAATTCGGCAGTTTCAGCTAAAATGACAGGGAGCATCGCGGGAACACAGAGGAAAGGTAAGGATCATGGGAAAATTGCTCTGACCAGCGGAAATGAAGCACACTTTGCTCCTCCGCTGGTCAGAGCTGGTCAAGCGAAGGAATCCTCCATAAGGCGAAGAGTCCCTACTTTGTCTTATGATTTTAAAGAAAACTAAAGAAGACAGGAAGAAAAGAACAGACCCTGAGAGAGGGGGAGAAGAGGAAGAGATTGAGGAAAGGTAAGTTCGGCATGACAGTGCCGCTTTAACTATCCACAGACTTCAGGTGGAAGGAGTTTTCAATCACAATTTTTCCCCAACATAACCTATTTGTATTTTGCTTCCCAAGCACTACCAAGCCTCAATAAGCAAACCAGTAACTGACCTCATGCTGATGAGTTGCATTAACAACGAAACAGCTGTCCTTGAGTAGTTTACTGACTTTGCATCTTTTCCTAAGTTGTGTTTCAACTGTTGTATACAGCAAACACAGACTAAAAGGAATCCATGTTTAAAATGGATTGAGGCAAAAATGTGATTCTTTGTTAAGCTAATTTGCATATGCCCACCCAGAATCCTTTGCGGTAGTAACATCACTGAAGATTTGTGATTTCTGTGGGAAAAGCAAGTCTTATGGCTTGACTGGTGTGCAGATATTTGTTTAACATTGTATTAACTATATATCTATTACCTTTTTATTTATTTATTTAAAACTTTTTTTTTACTTTTTCCACCAGCAGGGTGACTGCCTGTCAGTTCAGTCACTCCCCCTGCTGGAAGCACTGTGGACACCTATTGTGGCCATGTGACCGCTCTTTTAGAGCATTCCCATGGCCCCTGGGGGTCCTAAATTGGAGAAGACTGATCGCTGGTGGGGGAATGGGGGCGATCAGTAAGTACATTGGAAGGGAGATGGCTTCCGATGCTCTGCCTCACTGCCGGGCTCCACGTGAAGCAACCTGGAAGTGATCGCTCAGGGGGGAGTGATCCCCGGTGTTCTCCGGCGGCCACCAGCAGTGAGGGGGGTAGGCAGTGATGCCTCAACATCGAGGCATTGCTACAATACCATTAGAGCTGGTGGAAGCGATCATGATCACTTCCAGTGCTTTAATTCACCGTGAATGTATCAGGTACGTCCCCGGTCCTTAAGGACCGTTTTTTGTCGGACGTACCTTATACGTCCATGGTCACTAAGGGGTTAACCAATCATTGTTAACAGGAGTAGTCCCAGAAGATTGGAAGTTAGCGAATGTTGTGCCTATTCACAAGAAAGGTAGTAGTGAGGAGTCGGGCAACTATAGACCAGTAAGCCTTACTTCAGTAGTGGGGAAAGTAATGGAAACCATGTTAAAGGATAGGATTGTTGAACATCTAAAATCACATGGATTTCAAGATCAGAGACAACATGGGTTTACTTCAGGGAGATCATGCCAAACTAATCTTATTGATTTTTTTTAATTGGGTAACTAAAATAATAGATCAGGGTGGTGCAGGCGACATTGCTTACCTAGATTTCAGTAAGGCTTTTGACACTGTTGCACATAGAAGGCTTATCAATAAACTGCAATCTTTAAGTGTGGATTCCAATATTGTTGAATGGGTAAGATAGTGGCTGAATGACATGCAACAGAGGGTTGTAGTCAATGGAGTATATTCAAAGCATGGTCTTGTCACCAGTGGGGTACCTCAGGAATCTTTACTTGGACCCATTCTCTTTAATATTTTTTATTAGTGATATTGCAGAAGGTCTTGATGGTCGGGTATGTCTTTTTGCTGATGATACTAAGATATGTAACAGGGTTGATGTTCCAGGAGGGATAAAACAAATGACAAATGATTTAGGTAAACTAGAAAAATGGTCCGAGTTGTGGTAACTGACATTTAATGTGGATAAGTGCAAGATAATGCATCTTGGACGAATAAACCCAAGGGCAGAGTACATAGTTACATAGTTACATAGTTACATAGCTGAAAAGAGACTTGCGTCCATCAAGTTCAGCCTACCTCACATTTGTTTTTTGCTGTTGATCCAAAAGAAGGCAAAAAAAAACCAGTTTGAAGCACAATTTTGCAACAAACTAGGAAAAAAATTCCTTCTTGACCCCAGAATGGCAGTCAGATTTATCCTTGGATCAAGCAGTTATTACCCTACATTGAAAGATTATATCCTTGAATATTCTGTTCTTGCAAGTATGCATCTAGTAGCCGTTTGAACATCTGTATGGACTCTGATAAAACCACTTCCTCAGGCAGAGAATTCCACATTCTGATTGTTCTTACAGTAAAAAAACCTTTCCTTTGCCTTAGACGAAATCTTCTTTCTTCCAGTCTAAACTCATGGCCTCGTGTCCTATGTAAAGTCCGGTTTGTGAATAGATTTCCACACAATGGTTTGTATTGGCCACGAATATATTTGTATAATGTTATCATATCCCCTCTCAGGCGACGTTTTTCTAAACTAAATAGGTTTAAATTTGTTAACCTTTCTTCATAGCCGATATGTTACATTCCTTTTATTAATTTTGTAGCCCGCCTCTGCACTTTTTCTAGTACAGAATATTTGATAGAGTCCTAACCTCAACATCTGAGGAAAAGGATTTAAGGGTGATTATTTCTGATGACTTACAGGTAGGCAGACAATGTAATAGCTATGAAACACACAAGTAATATTATGGCGCTGAATCAATTGATATTACTAAATATATAACAAGCAGCACTATATACAGTGAAAAAGTTAAATCAAGTGTAACTATACCAAATCAAAAAAGTAAAGTGCGCTGTGCCTTTAAGACCAAAATGAGTAATTAAATAAGTGGGAATAACATGTGCAATATTGAATAGCAAAAAGTGACCAAGTGCATTTGTGCAAAACCACACTTATAAATGTGTATATATATATTACAAACGTAGTGCAATATACAATAAAAATTGTACTTAGCTTTCCCACTTGGAATATACCTTAATCTTGTATCGTTAATTTAAATATAGATCTCAAAAAAACAAAGGGGGAAATACAAAATCATAGGATAGTATGTTTGAATATAATCTATGTAAAATATGAATGAAAACACTCACAAGGGTAGAGCAATTTAGTCTGCTCTGAACTTTGATGGCATCTAGTGCAACATATGCAAACTGGAAGCTGTGGTGACGGTTGAAATCTTTATTGACACTTTCAGAATTAAAAACTGCTCCACAGGCTGAAAAGTCCCTTTATTCCATATATCCTCCGCTTTCACTGTGCTGTGATGGTTTGTAGGCTCTCCTGGTCCAAGCGCCGGCTTGCTGGACTCTGAGTGCCGAAATCAGTCTTTCACAATCAAACACTTCCGGGAGGCGGGGCTTTCGGCCGTTGAGCGTAATGACGTAATTACGTCAAAAACGTGATGACGCGTTTCGTCGATACGCTCGGCTTCATCAGATCCATCTTTTGACTCACCACAGTCTCTATTTAAGTCCCATTCAAGGGCATGTTTGCCCAAATCAGTTCACAAGATTGTCTCTCTAATTGGCTTATTGCTAATGCCTAATTTGCATGCTTAATAAACTTAATCATGTGCAAATCAACCGCAGGGTATTATTCACTAAAATGCTAAAAGGCACCAGATATAATTATACTCAAATATCAAGTGAGATACAGACACATTCTAACAGTATTAAAAATAAAAATAAGATTTTTTAGTATTAATAATAATAATAGCACTAATGTTTTAAATGGAATAGCCTTCCAGCTGAAGTGGTAAAGTTTAACACAGTGAAGGAGTTTAAGCATGTGTGGGGTGCGATAGGCATAGATGGGCCCAATGGTTCTTATCTGCCGTCACATTGCCATAGGTTCTTCCTTAATATATACGGAGGAGAAATATTTATTTAAAATGTCTTCCTTTTTCTGGTCTTCATTAACTAACACAACCTTCCCGGTTTTTAGTATACCTACACTTTCATTTTTTTTTTTTTTTTTAGAATTTATGTATTTAAAAAATGCTTTGGGGTTTGTTTTGCTCTCTTTGGCTATCATTTTCTCATTTTGAAGTTTAGCAAATCTAATTGCCTTTTTGCACACATTATTGGCTTCCTTATATCTTTTATAGGATGCCTCTGATTTGTCTGATTTAAAGGCTTTGAATGCCCTTTTCTTATTTTGAATTTCTTGATTCACTTTCCCACTAAGCCACAGAATTTACTCTAATTGAACATCCCATATATTTCAACATGTTAGATAAACTCCGGACACCTATTACGTCTGCAGGAAGTTCCACTAGAATTGTGCTTGTCATGTCATTGTTTTATTATTTATGAGCCCACTGTATAGTAGTTGGAGTTAAAGGAAGTCTACAGGGAGTGCAGAATTATTAGGCAAATTAGTATTTTGACCACATCATCCTCTTTATGCATGTTGTCTTACTCCAAGCTGTATAGGCTCGAAAGCCTACTACCAATTAAGCATATTAGGTGATGTGCATCTCTGTAATGAGAAGGGGTGTGGTCTAATGACATCAACACCCTATATCAGGTGTGCATAATTATTAGGCAACTTCCTTTCCTTTGGCAAAATGGGTCAAAAGAAGGACTTGACAGGCTCAGAAAAGTCAAAAATAGTGAGATATCTTGCAGAGGGATGCAGCACTCTTAAAATTGCAAAGCTTCTGAAGCGTGATCATCGAACAATCAAGCGTTTCATTCAAAATAGTCAACAGGGTCGCAAGAAGCGTGTGGAAAAACCAAGGTGCAAAATAACCGCCCATGAACTGAGAAAAGTCAAGCGTGCAGCTGCCACGATGCCACTTGCCACCAGTTTGGCCATATTTCAGAGCTGCAACATCACTGGAGTGCCCAAAAGCACAAGGTGTGCAATACTCAGAGACATGGCCAAGGTAAGAAAGGCTGAAAGACGACCACCACTGAACAAGACACACAAGCTGAAACGTCAAGACTGGGCCAAGAAATATCTCAAGACTGATTTTTCTAAGGTTTTATGGACTGATGAAATGAGAGTGAGTCTTGATGGGCCAGATGGATGGGCCCGTGGCTGGATTGGTAAAGGGCAGAGAGCTCCAGTCCGACTCAGACGCCAGCAAGGTGGAGGTGGAGTACTGGTTTGGGCTGGTATCATCAAAGATGAGCTTGTGGGGCCTTTTCGGGTTGAGGATGGAGTCAAGCTCAACTCCCAGTCCTACTGCCAGTTCCTGGAAGACACCTTCTTCAAGCAGTGGTACAGGAAGAAGTCTGCATCCTTCAAGAAAAAACATGATTTTCATGCAGGACAATGCTCCATCACACGCGTCCAAGTACTCCACAGCGTGGCTGGCAAGAAAGGGTATAAAAGAAGAAAATCTAATGACATGGCCTCCTTGTTCACCTGATCTGAACCCCATTGAGAACCTGTGGTCCATCATCAAATGTGAGATTTACAAGGAGGGAAAACAGTACACCTCTCTGAACAGTGTCTGGGAGGCTGTGGTTGCTGCTGCACGCAATGTTGATGGTGAACAGATCAAAACACTGACAGAATCCATGGATGGCAGGCTTTTGAGTGTCCTTGCAAAGAAAGGTGGCTATATTGGTCACTGATTTGTTTTTGTTTTGTTTTTGAATGTCAGAAATGTATATTTGTGAATGTTGAGATGTTATATTGGTTTCACTGGTAATAATAAATAATTGAAATGGGTATATATTTGTTTTTTGTTAAGTTGCCTAATAATTATGCACAGTAATAGTCACCTGCACACACAGATATCCCCCTAACATAGCTATAACTAAAAACAAACTAAAAACTACTTCCAAAAATATTCAGCTTTGATATTAATGAGTTTTTTGGGTTCATTGAGAACATGGTTGTTGTTCAATAATAAAATTAATCCTCAAAAATACAACTTGCCTAATAATTCTGCACTCCCTATATATGTGAACAAATGCTGTAATGCTATTATTGTACTAGTAAAATGTTCTCATTGGCTTAGAGGCATTCAGTAATTCTGTTTTGCTATTTATTTTCTCACTGAAGGGGGATACAATATTTCACGTCACTTCATCCGAAAGGTTCAATGACACAAGCTGTTGAATTTGCAAATTCATATGAACAACTTTCTTCTAACTGCTGTAACAAAACATTTTGGACCGCTGACTGTTTTTTGGATGAAGTAAGTTGTAATTTTCATGATTCACATATCTTTCATAGTTTATAAATACTGTGAAAGACCATATAATGTAACTCTTAGGAGGCTCATGTTTTTGAAAGATCTATGAGGTTGCCATTATTTTCAGTATATAAGCATATTGTATTGTATGTGACAAGAACTGAGTGAACACTACTCTCTACTGGCCAAACCCTTGTACTACAGCTACATACAGAATAAATGCATAAGCCATTAAAAATGGTTATTGATTCATTCTGTGATTTGAAAGCATCCAAAACATAGTTATAATTTGTTACAATGTAACAAATAATCCTTTATGCCACATTAAAAATGATCTTTATAGGGGCGGAGCTTAGCCACTGAACCGAGCGGATGCCATTCCTGGGTGCTCTGGCAAAACGGAGGAAAATCAATGGCAATCATAGCCTTACAAGCCAAATCAGCCCAAGAGACCAACAGGCAGAGCAAGAGGGTAGCACCAGCGACCGACTGATGCCCTTTTTATTCCCGCAGATGGGCAGGAAGGTGCAAGGTAAAGTTAAGGTCTACCTCGCTTACGCGGCCTTTGGATCAGCGCTGCACAATGTAGTGTACTCCATCACTACACCACTCATGGAGAACGGGACATCCAAAACCTCATTAGACATGGTACAGTAATCCCAGCGAATAGCTACAGGTGCGTGTAAAGACACCAGCAGCATAAGCACAATGCTGCAGCGCTCTGCGGCCCCAAAGATGGCTGCCAAGCCTGATCTAGACACAGGCTCCATTTACTCTGAGCAAGCCCTGGGGGATACCACAGACCCACAGTCACCCCTGGACGTGCAGATAGACCCTGATGCGCTTACACTGGCTACCAAACTGGACATTAGAAACCTCTTGCTAGAATTGAAGCAGATGTCTGCTGCATACATGGCCCTAATGAGGACAGAGGTCCAAGCGGTGACCGACCTCGTGAAAACCTCAGAAGAGGATATAATAGACATACAACAAGTGAGGGGTCTTAAAGAAACAGTGCTACAACTCCAATCCTCCCAATCAGCTCTGCTCAATAAGCTGGATGCCACAGAGGACAAAAGCCACAGAATAAATGTAAAAATCCGTGGCATCACTGATGAAATAGGCCAGTCGGAATTGCCACACTACCTCAGGCGCTTCTTCGCTACCTTACTACCACATACGCAGGCAAAAAAAGCTGGCTTTTGCACGAATCTTTCACATCACCAAACCTCTCCTGGCATCCAGTTACATGATCATTCAGTGCCAAACCCTAACTGCCAGAAATAACATCTTTGCAGCTGTGAAAGGCAAAACGCTGCTTGACTTCGAGTCTGCCAATCTCACCTTCTATCAGGACCTAACCAGTACCACCCTCCAGTGGAGGAGAACTCTGGGCCCAGGGACCAATCGACTACAAGGAGCCAATATGACCATTGGACAATGCCTAAAACCCTATCGGTTGAGCACAAGGCACCACTCTGAAACTCTCCTCTATAAAGGAGGCAAACTCCTTCCTTCAAGCTTTGGGGTTCCCAACAGGAACTGGTCCCCCTGACACACCTTCCACTTCTCACATATAGGACCCAACAAGGACTGTCCCCTTCGTACCTTGAAGGAGAGGCGCCCCGATAGCAGCAACCTGACTCAAACTTACCCAAAGACTGCATAGGCACAGATGTTTTTCTTTTTCTTTGGCTAATATATAAGAAGTTATTATTATCTTAAGTTTATGTTTCATTGATATGTCTCCAAGTTTTATAGTGTCCTCCCCTCATGCTGAGTTATACCAATGGTTATCATGACCACCAGTGGGTACCCCACACCTTACGCTTGATACCACCACAATAGGGCTACTACAGTGGCTATCACCATCTCTCTCCCCCCCACCCCCCTCGTGACCACCCTTGGTTAGGGGTCGTAGACCACACTCATACCACACGTATACCTGGTTCATAGGGCAAGTAATTGATCAGGATGAGACCGAACAAATAAACAATGTCCTCTTGACAGACGAGACCAAAGTGGTGATGTTTGGCTATCATGCACAGCATTACAGTTAAAACAAAAACCAGCATATCAGCACAAACACCTCACACCAACTGTCAAGTAGGGTGTTGGAAAGTGTGATGATTGAGTACAGTAAAGTAAATCTCTGGAGAAATCGAATGGAGGAAAATGAGGCCACATATCTAGTTATTGCATGTGAATAATACACTTGACCAATAATTATCAATATACAATATTTGGTATATTATAGTGTATGAATAATGATATAACTTTTTTTAGGATGTGATACATGTAATTAGACAATAATTTACTGCAAAACCCATCACCTATTAATTGCAATCACCAATTCTTGTAATAATGTTTAAAAATGCTGTTTTGTGAATAAACTACATAGGTTCTCTGGAGTAGAATTGCATAGCTTTTAGTGAATGTGCTAACATTGAAAATTCACTTTTTTTTTATCAGTCTGAGAGCTGCTTCACAAATGATTTACCAAACTTGCCTGTCCTACATCAATTCAGATTGATAGCCTATTTATTTCCTATTCATGTGTGTCCGTTGCTTAGTCTAATTAATAGAAATAGGCATTGTACGTTGAACTCGCCATGAAAGCTTTTTACTCAGGTATAACCGATTAGAAGCAGACTCTAGCAAAAGCCATTATCAAGTAACCTTTACATATGCGTGCTAAACATATTTAATAAATCAAGTCCTTAGTTTATTATCTGGTAGTACACTTCCTTGTAATATGTGCTAAATTAACATGCAGTGGGAGCTTGAATACACATGAAGCCTCATAGTATTGTCACTGATATCATAAAGAAATCTGGCTTAAAGGAACACTCCGGTCACCATAATAACTTACTGTAAATTACATTGTTATGGGAGGCAGCGGGTGCTCTCTTACCTTAAGGGGATAAACTGTTTTTGAACAATTTAACCCCAAAGGCTGCCTCCAGGGCCAGATCTGTAGGTCCCCCAATGGCATACTGCTTCTGAAACTGTGTTTTATATGCACCTTTTTTATGAATGGAGAGCTACTAATTGACTTATAGTGTTGGCTGACCACTCTAACCAATCAGCGGTGTCACGTCCTGATGGCACTGGGGAACCTGAAGATTCAGCGCTGGAGGCAGCCTTTCAGAATGGTATAACCCCATTAAGGTAAGATTGTGCATGGGGGCCTCCTTGCACCATCATTCAATTAAGTTGTTAACGTAACCGGAGGGTTCCTTTTAAAAATTGGGCTGCTTGCAATCTCTGTGATGGGAGACATACAAATTCATATGTGCAAAATTACACTTTTTGTTACTATTAGTTTTTATTTAGATAAGAGTTTTAAACACTGGTTCAACATGTAAATTACCATTTTCACTTGATTTGTTTGAAATTTCTCTTTCACCATGTTTATCCAGTCTGAAGTCCTTCTTCTTCAGTTTTGCTCAAAATCTGATTCTGTTCCACATCTTGCATGCTGCCTTAAGACTGGACTGCAAAGATCAGAATGTTTAATTAATATTGCAAGCCAAGAAGCTCAAGATATATCTGAACAAATAGTTGTAACACCAGAACATCTCTGTAGTATCCATAGTGAATACGAAGGAAGTATCATTATATGGTAAGTAATGTTCATATGAGACTTCATTAGCTGCTAAGGCTCAATGGTTTAGTGTTGAATTCAAATTGATCTTGGATGTGTCTCATACCCCCCCCCCACGGTGCCTCATTCCCTCTGCCTCACATACCCTCCATGTGTCCCATTCCCTCTCCCCCCTCAGCCCCTCCATGTGTCCCATAGGCTCATCCTCCTCCAGCCCCTTCATGTGTCCCATTCCCTCTACCCTTAGCCCCTCCATGTTTCTCATACCCTCCTCCCTCCCAGTCTCTCCATGTTTCCAATTACTCCTTCTCCCCTCTCTGTGTCCGTGTCACGTATTCATCCGCTTATAAAAATGTGATTAATGGAATTTACTGTTACGACAGGAAAAGTTGTGACGAACAATATTACTGTTCTCACAGGAAAAGTTGTGCCGAGCAGCAATCAAATCCACAGGAGGGTTTGTGCTGAGCAGCAACTATGCAAATGGGAACCTGGTAACTGCCTTTGAGATCAAAAGCTGATTACAGCCTATCAGATCCAGAGGAGGGGTATTTAGGCTCAGTTCTCATCCTGCTCAGTGCCCTGTCGTGGTTTCCCTTGAGGTTGTCCGAGAGCACGTTATTGATTCTGGTAATTCTGGTTATTTGACTTTGGCATTGTTTTTGACTTTCCTGTTTTCTGGCATCCCTGACCCCTGGCCTTTACTTATTGTTGTATCTCTTTCTGTATCCCTTGACCTCGGCTATTCTTTGTTATCTTGTACGTTACCTATCAGTCCTCTGTGTTACACAATTCTACGTGCTGGATCATACTGTAATCCTGACATTACGACATGGCCATAGATCCTATAGAATTGTGTAAGCACATAGCTGCTTGCGAAAGGAAACTAGAGGAGAATGATCAAGCATGGTTCAATTTGCCCAGGCTTTCAGTATGATTCTTACCCGTACAGCGCATCTGCAACCTGCGGCTGCTCCTACTGTCTCACCTCCGCCTTATGTACCTCCGCCTATAGTATACAAGGCACCAACTATCTCTCTATCTCCTCCTCTGTTTTTTGATGGTAATTTCCAAGAATGCCAGGGATTCCTTAACCAAATAGAGCATCATTTGAGGCCTCACCGGGATCTTTTCCCACAGACAGAGCTAAAATTGGTTACCCGATGGATCAATTAAAAGGTAAAGCTTTAGCTTGGGCCAATCCATTATGGGAGAGTAATAGAAGTGTGGCAGGCAATTACCAGGAGTTTATTACGGAATTCAAACTTACGTTTGGACCTTTAGGCAGAGAGGATGACGCCTCTACTGCCCCGATGCATATCAGACAAGGAAACCGTTCTATCTCGGAATATGCCATAAAATTTCGTACCCTAGCTTCCGAGGAAGACTGGACTAACAGTGGGTTAATCTCTGCATTTAAAAAGGGACTATCTGAAACTATGCTTGATGACATTGCCACCAAAGACTTACCCAAAAAGCTTAATTAATCACTTTTGTCATGCAGATTGATAATAGATTGAGAACCAGAGACGCTACTAGAAACAAGACCAGACACATGAATATTCCTTTAGCACCCAACTTCTCCAAACCTATTGTCCCTGAATTTCCTTTACAGTCCGAACCCATGCAGTTGGGGGTCACTAGACTGTCAGAAGCAGAAAGACAATATAGGAGAAAAGAAGGCTTATGTCTATACTGCAGTAGGAAGGGACTGTCAGGATTACTGTTTGATCCAGCACGTAGAACTGTACAGCACGAATGACAAATAAGTAACGTATTACCGGTCCTTAGAATGGCCGGATTTAACGTACAAAGAATAGTCAAAAATACTAGCCGAGGTCAGGGAACACAGAAAGGGACACAGCGATGAGGAAAGCCAGGAGTCAGGATACCAGAATATAGAGAAGTCAATAAACAAAGCCAAAGTCAAAAACCAGGTAGAAAACTATAAACAGGAACGCGCTCTCGGACAACCACAAGGGAAACCACGACAGGGCACTGAGCAGGCTGAGAACTGGGCCTAAATACCCCTCCTTTAGTTCTGATAGGCTGTAACCGGCCTTTGACCCCAAAGTCAGTTACCAGGTTTCATTTGCATAATTGCTGCTCAGCATTAACCCTTCTGTGGATTAGGTTGCTGCTCGGCACAACTTTTCCTGTGTGGACAGTAAATGTCATTAATCACTTTTCTCTAAGCGGATGAATACATGACACCAGGTTTCATTTGCACAATTACTGCTCAGCATTAACCCTTCTGTGGATTAGGTTGCTGCTCGGCACAACTTTTCCTGTGTGGACAGTAAATGTCATTAACCACATTTCTATAAGCGGATGAATATGTGACAGGGACATATGAGAATCAATTGTCCCATACGTCCGGAAAACTACCTCACCTAAGCACCTTAGGTGTAAGGGAAATGTCCTCTGGAAAGCATAAAAATAGGTTTCTCCTTGATTTTTCTATTGCATTTGAAAAGAAGAACTTTACATGCAAAGCCCTGATGGATTCAGGTGCCGCTGGAAACTTCATTGACGTTCAGTTTGTTAAAGGTAATACTATACCTATCAAGGAGAGACTATCACCTCTAGCTGTTGAAGCTATTGATGGGAGACCACTCTCACAACCATTGATAACGCATGAAACCTTACCCATTAATATTTCCATTGGTGCCTTATCCTCTTATTGACTGGGCTAATGGGGAAATACTAGAATGGGGTAAGGATGGCTATGAAAGGTGTATATTGAATGTCGTCAAAAGAGTGGGCACTATTGAATTACCCACTAGTACACCTCAAAACCCAGAAATCCCTATATAGTACCAAGACATTAAAGAAGTATTCAGCAAAAGTCAGTCGAATACTCTACCTCCTCACAGACCATATGACTGTTCCATTAATTTACTACTCAGCGGTATGCCACCTAAGGGAGCAGTTTATGCTCTGTCACC